AGCTTCCTTGTCTTTTCCTCAAATTTTCCTCCTCCTCCACTGGGAGAGGTGGGGGAGGTGAGCGAGCGGCTGTGTGGTACTTTACTGATAGCTGAGGTTAAACCATGACATGTTGGTCAGACACCTTCTATTGCACAGTCACTGTTATGTATGCAACTTTATGGCACAGTAATGTCACTTGAAGCAATCAGGCTAGACAGTGGTCTTCAAGACCACTGGTTATGATGGTGGTTGGTTGGTCCCCAAAGTATGAAGCCACTGAGCTATAGTGCTTGGGACTGTTTAGTGAGAAGCTTTGTCATTGAAAAATGAGAATTTAGTATATGAATGCTTGGTCTGGATAAGTGGCATTGATTTATGGGCTTACAGTGTTTCCTTGGCACAGTGAATCCGGTATGCACCTCTCCCTCTATGCAGACTAACAGCGAAAATTTCTGCATGAGGACATTATTACTAACAAAATCATGCAACTTAGCTCAGTAATACAGCAAGAAGCCATTGTAACACGTTTAAACGTATAGGCTATTAGCACAGTTTTGCACAGAATGAAATACTCTTTATGGAAGTTCCATGGTCAGTTTTACTTGAGAAATTACACTGACCATAAATATGCCTTTTTTTCCCCTCCTCTCAGGCTTTGTGAGCCAAAGAAAGATTTAATTGCCCGAGTAGTGAAAATAATTGGGAAAAGAAAAGCTATTGAACTGCTTATGGAAACAGCTGAAGTGGAACAAAACGGTGGACTGTTCATAGTGGTAAGAAAAATATGACACTGTCGGTTTGTGGGGACACACACAAACACAACTTTTTACTTGTAGAATATTTATGTAGTATTATTGCACAACTTTCATGTTGCACAGGTTCTCCTAGAGTTTCATGATCTTCCTGGCGAAGATAGGTAAATACTTCATAAATACTAATGGAGCCGTCCATCAGCATTTGAGTAAACCAGATGAATAAACCTGGAAATTGCCCAACTTTTTGTGCTGAGCTTAGTATCTCCTTTGTAACATTGTAGCTGTTACTCTGCCTCCCCTGGGGATCTTTCTCGGCAGGACTTGGGAGTGAAAGGTTTTGAAGCCAGAATGAAAGCTTGTAATGTTAGGATTCAGGGGAAGAAGCCTCTGGCATATTGCTTCAGCAAGTCAGGTGGATGTTTGACAGCACTGACCTATCTACTGGGTTAATTGGCATGCCATCAGAGGTCAGCAGAGTCAGTAGCAAGCACTTCTACTGTCACATTTGAAGATTAAACTTTCAAAAGGGAATGTGTTTGCTTTTTTGGAGAACCATGGGCTTGTGTATCAGTAGAGCAAGAGTACTGATTTCGGTTAGAAATTATGATTAAAAACCTATGCTTAATGGTTAGGTTATCAATTTCTCAGCATGTGGTTTGTGGGTTGGTTTGTTGGTTTTTTTTTTTTTTTAATTAAATAGTGAGCCTCAGTGCAAAAGGTCAGAAGAAAAAAAGTGGGAGGGAACTAGTAAGTACTTTCAGGCATTTGTTTATAATTTACACCTTTTAAGTTTCATCACTGAGAGGAAAAAATAAACCCCTAAAGCACCCAAGCAAAAAAAAAAACCCACCCCCCACTTTGCAGCTAGCAACTTGTCTTAGTAGTGGTCTGTTGTCTTGAAAGATAATAATAATTACTATTAACTGTTTACCAAGGAAATTAAAGGACACAAGTCCTGGTGGCACAGGTCTCTTTGGCTACAGATCACAGTATGCCATTTGGAAGGCAGATCATACAGGGTTTTTTGGTTGGAGTTTTGTGCTGATAAAAAGTATGTGGTGCCTGGTGTTTCAAGACCATACTTAAAATTTGACCCTCGTGGTTCATGGAACTTCTAGATCGCATTTTACTTTGGTATTTAGCAGAAAAGTACCACATTTAATCTGATACTACAGTATCAGAGTGCTGGATTAACTGTTCAACTTGATATAGTAGGAATGGTAATTGAATACTAGTACAATAATTAGTGCTTATAATTTACAGAGGTTTCAAAGCTGAGTCCATTCATGCTTCAGTATGGCACATGGCACCACTGCTGCTACAGTGAAAAATGTTGAAGCATGGAACTAATATGTTGTGGGGAGAAACTTTTAAGGTACATGTTGTGTTTCATATGCCATAGGTAGAAATGCAAAGTCCTGCAAACAATGCAGTTAACTTGTAGAATCGCTGAGCACAATTTAAAAAAAAAAAAAAAAAACCCAACAACAAACAAACAAACCACCTCGTGAGATCTACATAATTTTATGAAATTAATTTTGGACATTTTATTGGGTTTGTGTCTTAGAATGTTCTGAATATTTAACCTAGTATATACATTATTTCAGATAGTTGTGTGAGTAGTTAGAATACTATTGGTATTTTGTTTGTTCACTACCAAAATAAGATTTAGGATGCAGTTGAACAGTTTGGTATTATTTTATAAAGCAAATCTTTTGTAAACTCATAGTTTACCTCTCCAAATGTGGGAAGCTGGTTGTTAACATTCTTATGACTTGTTCAATCACAAACAAAACATGGCCAGCTGGGTTGTTTTTATGTAATACCTGACACAGCAGCACTTAATTTTTTTAATTATTTCTCAGTACAAAGCATTTTCTTAGGTGCTATTTTTATATCAACACCTATGTATTAAAAGCTTGCTCTTACTAATTTACTCTTTGTTAAGAATGGCACTAGGAGAAGAACACCAGGTGGGGTTTATTTAAATCTGCTGAAGAACACACCTAGCATCAAAGAAGAACAAATCAAGGTAAAATTGCCAAGAATGGTGCAAATGATTGTCCAAAGTAAATTCTGCTTTTTTTTTTCTACTGGAAAGGTTATGATTGAATCTTTCTCATAACTTCTAGCAAGTTTATATTCCAAAGAAACCAACTTTTCACATGCAGAATACACACAAAATTAAACAGAAAAAAAAAAAGATGACTTGCCATTCCCAGTAGGCTGAGAGAACACCTTTTACATATTGCTAGTACTAAAAACCTGTTGAGGATGATGAGACTGTAGAGTGAAGAGATAAACATAGATTCTTCCTTAATTTTTATATACCTTACAGCAGTGTTACCTGTAACTGTATTTGACCCTTTCGAGCTCGGCATCACTGTGCATGGATCAAATGGTGTTCTCTTAATAGAGTATTGTTGTTCTATATAGCTCCTGCTGTAGCACCAGCTAGTATTTCCCATTAAGTCAGATACTGGTCTGAATTGCTTACCGGACTCATGTGTCATGCTTACCAAATTAGTTTTGTCAGCTTGTAATACTACTGCTTTTCCTTTTAGGGTATGGAATAGGCTGAGATGGTGTTTTCTTCATTGAATTAAAACAACTTGGGTTTTAACTTTAGCCACTGTTAGCCAGTGTTTAGCCATTGAAACTTTAGCCACTGTTTCTTGTAACAAAATGTTAAATAGATTCATTTTATTTTGCTTGTTGGTGGCTACAGCACACTCTGTAATCCATCCAGGAATTGAGAAACAAGTTATCATAAACTGTGATTGTCTGTTTTATGTTTTTTAAGAAAAGAAAAGAAGGGGAAAAAAACCCCAAACACCCAGCACCCAAATGAAAAAAAAACACCCCACCACCTTTCATAGCTTACAGTGGTCATAAAGCTGCGAGTTTGATCATTTTACCCTGTTTAAAAAAAAAAAAAAAAAAAAATTACTCTTCTACCCCTCCTCCAGGCCCCTGTAATTGTTTCTTGCTGATTCTGGCAAGTGTTTAATGAGGCAGCAGTTTTCACTAAACAGACTTAATTAATGGTATGTAACATAATTTGTCACACAATACTGTGGGAAAAGTATATGTAATCCTGTCATCATGAAGGTTGTCATGTGTATAACTCAGATTTGCATGTCCTTAGCACTTGACTTACAACTTTTGGGGAGAAAAAAAAATCATGTTTTATTCATGCAGTTTATGTTCTTTAAAAAGTAAGCAGGGAAAGAAAGGCATGTAGCAGCAGTGAGCTCTTCTATATGATATTCTTCCCCTTGAAATTTGGAGGAAACTTGTAACAGTCATATTTTGCAGTAGAAAAGATGTTAAAGGGGTTCACAAATGATTGACAGTTAAGCTCATGAGATGTGTACTCATTTCTGTTGTGGAGGAATGTTTTCTCATGTTGTCATAGAACATTTTGTAGTATTTTCTCTCATGGTCCTTCTGGCACCATGACTCTGTTTTACCACCCATTCCTTCCAGTTTTATATCATCAGCAAACTTTAAATGAAAACATAGTGGTATTTATTTGCATACACTTTGAGATCACTGAGAAATTACATAACAAAATTATTTATGGATAATTTTCCTTATGTTCAGTCGATCTTCATACTTCTGTTATCAATAATGTGTATCTTAGCTAAATATTATGAAAAACTATTTGTAATTTTAAAAAACTACTACTTCGTTTTCTTTAGGAAACACTAGTAAAATCAGTATGCCAAACTTTTTTGTTTTCTTTCAAGGAAATATTTTATCTGGAAAACCAAAAGGAGTATGAAAACAAAAAGGCTGCTAAGAAGAGGAGAATACAAGTTCTAGGAAAGAAGATGAAAAAAGCCATTAAAGGGCTTAACCTGCAAGAATATGACGATGCATCTCGTGAGACTTTTGCTAGCGATACAAATGAAGCTCTGGCTTCCCTGGATGATATACAGGAGGGGCCTCATGAAGCAAAGATGGAACCTGAAGATATTATTGAAATAGATAATGCTCACGATTTGGAGATCTTCTAGTTACTGATGTTCTTGGTAACAGATTCTCAATAAAATATATTGAAGGAGCCTTTCTTATAACCCCAAGGTGGCTTGTTTTCATAAGCTACAGAGGCATGGGAAATAGTTGATGCTAAATAACATGACAATTCTTAACTAAATATAACAGCATGAAAGAGGTTAATTGTCCTGTTTGTTTGCTGAATCTTCAAAAACTGTGAAGATTTTTCTAGATAACTGCTCTGCATTACCATGTTTGTTCATTAGGAACTTCTTTTAGCCACATGTTAGGTTTAGGAATTACTGTGTTATAGCCAAATAAATCATATTTAATTTGCTGAAACTAACAAAGTCATCAAATGATCAGAAAAAACAGTATAAAGTTAGTCTTGGTAGAAAAGATTGTGTGTTCTTAATATGGCAATGTGTTGACAAGAATAGCATTGTTTGTAGGATTATGAACTGTAAAAACAGATTGATTTGTGAAATAAACTTAATTTTAATGGTCAGTGACCTTTTTATAACAACCTTCTAAGTAAGCACTGTTGAGCAATGTTGTTTTAAATTTCTGCTGCGGCTTAATCCTTCATATTATAATATTGGCTTAAGCTTCCTACCTGTTCTGTCTAGACTTTTTCTGTGATTAGACTCTGACACAACTTATACAGATATTTTTGTTTGAAAACAAATATAACTGAATTATTTGAGTAGTGGGATTTTACTAATCTGTGTTCCCTTTAAGGGTCTGTAGACTCTACATGAAGGTATAAACCCTTTACCTTGCAATTCTTGTTTCCATGCGTGCAGTAGGATAAAGTAATGTACAGAAATTACTTTGCAGAAATTTTGAAGTTCTTCTATGCTGACTCTTAAGAAAACAGTAGTATGCAAAGTATTTTTTTTTACTTGATGCAGAAGGCTGTTGTGTTGTTTGTAAGTTCAGTTGGAGACAACTTTTATGTTGAATGTTGTTTTTAATATAACCGAAGAACATGTGAAACAATATGTATGATGTCTAAAATACTTTATTAATAAGTTGTGTTTTCTGTGACTAGACATTATTTTCCAGTATAAAAAAATTCTGTGAAATATTAGTGAATGAATTCACTTTCAAACCCAACAACAAACTTCTGCACATACATGATTACCGGGAGTCCTTTGATTTTGGAAGTGCAGCATGTCACTAAAATACATAATGTTGTAATAGTGAACAATTCAGTACTGTCAAGAGCTGGTATTTAAAGGACTACAGTATTGGAAGAAATTTTGTAAACATACAGTGCATTCCATTATATGTTTTACTAAATTTATTAGAGTTTTGACTTTTCTACTTTTTTGTTGTTGTTGTTCATGAGCTGAGATTCCCCACTGTTAAGAAGTTACTCATTGGATATGAAGCATGTCTTGGCTGCTAGCAATTGCCCTTGCTGAAATAACAAGGTTTTGATTTGTTCATTAACTTTCCAAACAAACCTGTGAAGGTCAGAGTACTAAACTAACTCATGTAAGGGAAACAGAATTTTGTACTATCTAATTAGCTAGGGACTATACCACTTGATCTTAGTTTTGGGAATTGCTTGGAAATCTTAATTTTCTTGATAGAATCAGCAAATTTTAATGGTGTCTTAAGTAATTTTTTAGTTATGTAATTTCCTGCTAATGAGCACTGTGTATTTTTTAAATGTTAGTATTTTTAACACTGATTTCCCAGGTAAGGGGTACTGAAACAAAGTGTAGTCTTCTCTTTAACAAAAGGAAGATTATACATCGTGCCTGTTCTTTCCAATTCATGACTGACTTGTCTGTCTTTATATTCTGTTTCTTCTATTTTCTTTGGCTTTCATCAGAGTCCTTTCAAAAGGAAGCCTGTTGAAAATGATGAACAGTTAGTCTTCATTCCTGTTACAGCAGCTATTTCTTTTTCTTTACCTTTGTTGTCAAAAAGATTGCATTAAGCAGCACCAAGTTTTGTATAGTACCGTAGAGGCTGCAGTCGAGGTTTGGTTTGTTAGAGGAGTCATGGGGCTGATTCCCCTAAGGGTTAGGTTTTATGTCCTTAAGTTTCTCTTATGGACGTTTTTCTGATCGACAGATGTGATTTAGGCATTGTCTTTACTGCAGATACAGACTGCCTAGTGCTGGGACAAATGTCGCGCACCATCCCTTAAGCTGTAGATGTACTAAGCCATCCCTTTTGTTCCTGAAGCAGGCAGTGAAAATGAGAGAAGTTTTTCTTCTAACCCAAATTCAAATAAGAAAACAATGCTTTGTGTTATCACAGGGCAAATTAATAAGTTAATGATTCAGTTTTATAGTGGATCATGAAAGCATCACTCTTAGGACAGAATCTCTTTCCTCTTCCAAGTAGATTATCTCCTTAAAATGTTTTTATGGCCTCCAGGCTTTGCTATTTGCCAAAATTTGCAAGCAAGAATGGAGTGACCCAGTGCATACTGTGATGCCTTAGATTGAAGATAAGAATAAATTCAGCTTAAAGGTAGAGATGCTGAAAGCAGAAAGTGTTTTTATACTGTATGCAGCTTAGTTATCCCATGTTGCCCAAGGTGCTGCTGGGTATGTGCAGCAACTTGTATTGAATCCAGTTCCGAACATCAACCCAGACAGCAGTGTTTTGCTATTCTCTCTGTACCATCTTCATACTGCTAGCAGGATATTTTATCCTGAAGCTTATTACTGTCTAAACTGTGTAAATCTTGTGTTTTTCTTCATTTTGATCATCATTTAAAAAAAAAGTGTGATTGTGTCTCATTTATTACACTATGAGAAATGGCTAGAGACAGATAGTTGTGACATGGGCTATTCATTCTACAGATAGGTTTGTTAAGAACTGTGGTTTCTGCAAGATTATGAGGAGCCGAAGAGAGAAAGGAAGAGGAAAACAGCAGAAACAAGGCAGAAATGTGGTGAGAAAAGTGAATGAAAAAGAAATGACTACATTCACTATGACAATCACTGTTATGATGAAGTTTAATTCCTTGTATTTTGTCAGAGTAAAGGTATGGAGGGGTGTAGTAATATTACTGAGTAATATGTGAGTTTTTAAAATTTTTTTTTTCTATCTCATAAACCTTTGTTATGGCAACCCTTATTATCCCCTTAACTTACATCATCCTCTGCTGCTGCAGTTTTCACACAGAAAATTCTGCCACAGGTACTTTTTTAAAGCTCAGTTTATTTCAGTGTGTGGAGGAGAATGGTATTCATGGCTCCAGTGAGTATGGACTTACCCATTCCTAATTCCTACTGCTCTGCAGCACATTAAAAGTACAAGTCTATTTCTGAAGTACTGTGGTATTCAGTGACTCTGGGAATATTCAGTCTTAGAGCCTTCCTATCGTAGCTTGTTTAAGGGGTTCAAGAATCTGGCAGATACCATGATTGTAATTTCCTAGGACCACCTCTTGGATTCAGCAGGCAACAGGAATGCATGTTGCACAGTCGCAGTCACACAATGGCAGTCTTTGCAGCAACTGTGGCCTTAGGATGCAGTAGGTCCAAATTATCCGATCTCATTTGTGACCTGGCAGGACCTAGGAAATTCTTGCAGATCAAAGCTTTCCAGTATTTAGAAAGAACCTATTTTTTTCTTATCTTCATACCTGCAATATGGATAGGTGCCACTTTTCAGAGCTGTGGAAGGAGGAAGGAGAACTCAACTGTGATAGGTTTAATGTGGCCCAGCTAAACACATTTCTAGAATCACAAACATCCTGACAAACATACTGAAGAAAATGAGAAATATGTATCTGAAGTTACAACAAGTAACTCTTGCCCAGAAAGTAATTTCCAGCCCCTTTAAAAAAAGAAAAAAGGCAAATCAACATTTTTGTATCATTAAATAAATGCAGAAAAAATTTTATCTTGATAATTTAAGAACAAATGCCCGTGTAGCTGTACGGGGAGTGAGTAGCAGTACAATCGTATGTTGTCTCTTTCTTGTAAAGTCCTGATGGATGCTACTATTCTACTCATTTGCTGGAAGTGACCCTAGTCTTTTTTTCCTTGTCCTTCTGGAGATACTGGTGTGACCTACGTTACCTTTTCTTTTTTAAACTTGTTTAAGCAGTACTCCTATTTCTGAAATGTAAATAAAGCACTCAACTCTTCTGTAGCAGGCATAAATGGGATAAATTATTCCCAACACTGCTACAGTGAACTAAGATTTTCTGAAGGAAGAAAATCATGGGCCATCAGGGAAAACATGCTAAAGTGAAGAATAAGCTGAAGTAATTGAAGGTACAAAATAAACAACTCCACAAATGACTGCAGTTGGTTCTAGCCATCCAAATTACTTCCTTGTAGAGTTGTCAGCCCAAACCAGGTGCATACAATTAAGAAGAGCTGTCATTCAATTTTGTCTTGGGATTCTCTCTCCAAGACCTCACTGTTCAAATATATTGTCAAGCTGGAAGGTGGCAGGTGGGAAATCTAAAGAAAAAAAATTCTTTAATTTTGCAAGGGTTTGAGTATTTTAAAATTTTTCAAGAAAGTGTTTGTAGTATCCCCGACACCTGTTTGACTTTTGCCTTATGTGATGCAAGTTTGTCTAGATACTTCATTATTGTCTTTTACAATATGATATACTAAAGCATTAGTTCAGGTTACTCTGTTGAAAAATGTGTTTTATTCCAAGTGTCTTCATATTCTGTTTTGTAGCAGACTGACTATTAAAGATAGTGGATAGAAGCTGGCTTCAAAACTGTAGATACTTATTAATAGAAATACAAAATTGCCATGGAAACAATTGAGAAGGGCTTTGAAGATTTCCACATAATTACTATTTGTTTAGTTTTGTGTACCTAAAAATATTGATCTGCAAATAGTGTTGGTTTTCTGTAAATGGTCTCAAATCTTAAAGTTGCATTTGTATTTACTTAAGAAACTCTATAGAAAAATAATCTTGCACCTTGTTGTTTCTCACTGCAGAACTTTTGTCACTGTGGATAAAAATCTATGCTTGATGCAACTTTCTTTTCTATGGAAGGCAATAAAAATGAGCTAATGCATCCTTGCCATTAATGCTAAGTGAGTCTATTTCTC